ATGCCGACTACGATGCCGGCGAATCGTCTGGAAATATACCAAAACTATGGTCCCACAATGTGGGTTTCTTGGGTCTTCTTGCCCATATGACCAAGTGGCGAAATTACGGTCAAACAATTTTTAACAATTTATGTATCCTGCGTGGTTCAAGATATTTTTAACAACAGAAAATTGGGTTTATACACAATCGAATGAGTTGACCTTTTGATGCTAATGCATTTTGCATAGTCGTGTCTCACAAAAGTTTGCCAATAAAAGTTGGGTTTCAAGGAATCTATTGTTTCATAATTGTTCAGCGTACTTCCATTTCGAGTGAAACTGTTGCGTGAAGAGATTCGAAAGTCGGTTCAACCAGAAGACGACGACGGATTTCTCTTGACCAGCTGTCGATTGACTTGACTGGAACATTCATGCTGACACTGTTTCCGAGGCAATTTCCTTCGATTCCGGTGAAAAGGTGAAAGTAACACTTTTACTCGTTAGCTTGAATTTTGTTGTGACAATGTCACCTCGCTCCGATGATGTCCGTCATATGATGGACGACAGCTTAGCACCTTTTTTACAAAAATTGAAGGAGATTGCCTCGGAAACAGCGTCAGCATGATTCTACAAGTAAAGCCAATCGACAACTGGTCAAGAGGAATCCGCTGTCGTCTTCTGGTAGAACCAACCTTCGAATCTATTCACCTAACACTTTCACTCGAAATGGAGGTAAGCTCAACAATTATGAAACAAAAATTCCTCGAAACCTTACTTGACGACGACATTACTTATATTTAGTTCTGAATTGGTTTCAAGACTAACTCATAGATAAAATTTTCTGGTTGCCTCGGAAACCTACTTAAAATAAATTAATGTCGCCAATCGCTACAGCAAATATAAGTTTGCTTCCTCGACAATGCCAACACAAAGTGTGATATGGAAAATGGCCGGCATTCTTTGAAATTCACATCTGCCTTATGACCCGATTGCATTTGTTGCAATGTGGCGTAGTGGTTAACGTGTCGAGCTTACACGCTGAACTGTCGAGGTTAAACTCCCGTTTAGGGTGTTGATAAGACCTATGCAGTCCTTCCTAAACGAGAGCATATTCTGGAAAATGCAAGTCTATGTCAACTTAAATGGTAACGTCTGCTCTACTCATATGCTTGAGAGAAAATTCTACTACCAGCCTTAGTCACTTTAGATGAAATAGCGTAAATAACTATTATCGAAGATATGAAGACCACGATTGTGTGGCCTTTTTGTATATGACTACGTTGTGAAAACAAGGTCAAACAACTTCTATACAACTCATATAGTTGGATTTTTCCCATTATCATACGACTAGACCTAACATTCCCATTTAATTTCACATAGCCTCATTCCAGCTCGAGTGGACTGCCATTTCGACCTTCTATAAACTTGTCTTATCATCACTCCCAGCTGAACTCGGACCATGACAGCACAGCGAAAGGTCTAGTCATATGAATGTGGGAAAATTCATCTAATAGTCCTTCACACCAAAAACTAAATAGGGTGGACACATTTCATATATCGGATTGAAACCCTACTTACAAGTAAAAATAAGTATTATGGTTAATTGATGTAGTAAATGCATGGTTGCTTCATTGAAAATAGCCCCACAAAGTGTAACATGGGAAAATTGCCGGCCTTTTTTAAAAATAACATCCGTCTTGCGGCCCAAGGGAAAGCTAGGTTGTGAAATTCAGTGGGAATATACGGTCTACTCTTATGATTGTGGAAAAAATACAACTACTTGCTCTTCATCATCTTAGAGCAGTGATTCCCAAACTGTGCGCCGCGAAATATTGTGAAAGCTTTAATTTGAGAAAATGTGCAGTAATTTGCAGGCTCATCCATCACATTAATTATTAAATACTAATTTAATGCTGATAAAGTAAAAAAAATAATGATGATACACGAGTTTTATTTTTTCTATCTCTTACTCACGAATAGTCATACTTAGGGTAGGGCGCCATGGAAAAATGTTAGTTGAAAAAGGGCGCCACGACTAGGAAAAAATTAGGAACCACGTGAATACATTTCATATAACAGATTATATGTTTGTCTCGAAACTCTACTAAAATACGAAAAACAAGTAATTTTGGCCAATCAAAATGGTACTAAACTGACCTACGGTCAGAGCATTATGCTCCTCTTGAGGGATGGTTAAAATATCGTTTTAGGTATTTTTTTCGAGTTATTAAGGCAAATACAATTAATCTCACTCATCTTTTGTTAAATGAAAAAAAACGTAAAGGATTCCTACCCGATTCCATCGTCATGTGAACTATCCTCCCCACTACCCCTTTCTTTGTATGCATTTGAACTTATGCTTTCCACAGCCGCTTGTGGGATCGTTTATATTTTATTTTTGTTGGCATCCTCAATCGGGAAACCTTCAACACTTAATTTTTCTTTCCCCCCCCATTTTCTGTACAGTTCTCTTCCTCTGTCCTTTTGTGGATTGCGCAACCTCAAAATTGCTTTGATTCCTCCTGTACTTTGCAATAAGTTCACTTTTCAAGACTTGTCCCAACTTTCTACATCCCACGAAATGATTCTGCAAAGAGTATTTATTTCGTTTCCCGGTTATTCTCTGCCGTCTTCTTAGTCGAGTGCACTGATGAGGTTGATACTTTTCAGTAGTTCTCCAAATCTTTATACACACGGACAAAACTTTTTTTATTTCTTTCTTTATATATATATATATATATGTAAATAAATACATGCA